CAGAGAACTACCTGCGGACGAGCTGAGGCAGAGGCGTCACCGTCTGCGAGATTGGGCAGCTGATCGACAAAGCGTTCAACCGGATGGCAGCACCCGAAAAAGCCATCAAGGGGTCCGAAGTGACCGCTATTTGGCCGCTCGACCAAAACGTCTTCACAGAGGAAGACTACGCGCCATCGCTGCTGACGGATGAAGCAGAGCCCAGTAGATGTGGAACTGATGGCGTTGGTCCCTGCGGAAAAGCTGGCGCGGCGGGCGGCAATGGTCCCAGCGGGGGAGCTGGCACGGAGGGTGACGTTGGTCACAGCGGAGGAGCTGGCGAGATGGACGGCGCTGGCCCCAGCGGAGGAGCTGGCGCGGAGGGTGATGTCGGTTATACCGGAGGGGCTGGCGAGATGGACGGCGCTGGCCCCAGCGGAGGAGCTGGCGCGGAGGGTGACGCAGATGGCAGCGGGAGAGCTGGCGCGGAGGATGACGCAGGTGGCAGCGGGAGAGCTGGTGCGGAGGGTGACGTTGGTCATAGCGGAGGAGCTAGCGAAATGAACGGCGCTGGCCCCAGCGGAGGAGCTGGCGCAGAGGGTGACGCTGGTCGCGGCGGGAGAGCTGGTGCGAAGGGTGACGCAGGGGGCAGCGGGAGCGCTGGCGAGGTAAATGGCGCTGGTCCCAGCGAGCAGAAGGATTCCATCTGCAAGGACGCTGCTAGGAGAGTGGTCACCATTACCCAAGGCAGACAAAAGAAAACGCACCCGTAAAACGGAGAAGTCTGCGGTCTTAACTTCATCTCCGTCCAAGGAGATTCTACTCGTAAGCGACCTCAAGAAAAAAGGCACGAAAACAAAGCCGGCGAAAACAGTCAGTGCCCGAATCCGAGAAAGACATGGCATGCCTGATATGCTCAATGCGCTTCTCCTTCTCCTGTGAGGAGTAGATTCAGTGTGGGAGCTGCAAAGGATGGGCTTGTGTTCCTTGCGCTCATGTGATGTTTGTACTAGATGGAAGATTATTTCTGGTGACATCATTTGCCCTAATACTCTTGCCCCATGGCCCGGGGTTTCTTGCCCCACGGCCCGGGACGTCTGGCCCGGGGTGTGAGGCAAGACGCACCACTTGCAGGCTTCTCGAAAATCACTTCCCAGAAGCGTATGAAATGAATGAGGAAGTGAGTCTTCCATACATCAGTAAAAATGTTCAAAGAATGCTTCAATAAATGCACTTGCAGTGGTGGTAAGATAGGACAAAGGATATTCAGCAAAATGCATTTTCTGAGGCGTCTTGCCCCACCTTACCCTATAGATAAGCTGCTAGTACGTGGTGTTTAAGCATGTGTGGCCTGAGCCTTTTTGGTAGTCCAGGACACGTCGTAGTCGGATCCCTATGTCTACGTCACTGCCAGTTGTGCAGGACACGTCGTAGTCGGATCCCTATGTCTAAGTCACTGCCTCATATTTGCACATTGTTAGGACGACTGGATCGTTTTCTTCTCTTAGTTAAATGGAATGCTTTTTCACGACGCTGCATGCTTTGTGGAATGGAATGCTTTGTGACAGGCTATTACATCACCGATGCTTCACATCAGCTAGACTTCTCGCGGGTGACGACGGAGAAAGACCCGCGCGATACATATAAGCAATAGCTGCAGGACCAAGAGGATCTTCCCTGGACAAAAAGGAATGTCTGGGATGATGGCTGGGACCTAAAAAGTCGAATATCCTTGTTTCTCGGTGATCTCTTCAGAAGGAGCTAAATTTATGATTTACACAAATAAAAGGTAACAGTTTCGGCGTTAGTTGAGAACAACTGCAGGAATCGATGATTGAGGACTTGCAGCTTCTGGCTGTGGAATTGAAATTATGACAAAGTGAAGTATGTGTAACTGGAATGCAAATTAAGAGCTCCGAGCGTAAGCCATGGCAAAGTGATCTTCAAATTCATTTTGTTTGTAGACTTCTTGCAGCTATTAATCTTAGCGCTAATGCTATTTCAAAGTTAAGCGGCCAACCTGAAATGAAAAATGGGGCAAGCGGCTCGTGCGTGCTTTTTGGAAAAGCAAAGTGAGGTGACACTGGGGGCTGATAATCAAGAAAGCCGCCTAAGTTGCCTCGGAATTCCCGAACTCAAATGACGGGCAACTCCATATACCCAAATGCTACTAGCCGATTTTAAACTTGCCAGAACTGGAATATTCCTACAGAAAGGGAGGAGAGGACGTCCGTCAAAAAATCTAGCCTCTCAAGGTCACCCTTCAAGGGCCAAACGCGGGCTCGAAGGACGGGGAACTCCATATCACCGAATAAATATCCGGCCAATTTTAACTTGCAAACATAGGGCTATTCACCACAGGAAAACTAGCGTCCGTCAAAAAGTCCTTGGCTTCCAGATCAAAAGAAAAGCCCCCCTGGTTTTGGATCTGAACTGGACCCTGAGTTACAATACCGCAGTACAACACTAATTTGACGGACAACTGTGTGGGCCGTTCGGGGTCTGAAATCGGGCCCTTGACTGTCTGCCTCCATCCCCCCCCCCCCCCGGTTTTTAAGGAGGGGAAAACAAGTGCCCCAATACCCTCTAGCTGTTACACTGGAGGCTCCTGAACGGTCGATGTGACCTCTGGTCAGACATGTACCTGGTTCCCTAAGATTTCTTCTGGGGAGCCGTTTTTGGTTGCTGGTTCCGGAAACAGGAAGAACCCAGAAACCAACTTGGAATTAATCCTAGGGAGCCAGCAGAAATCAGGATGCAGCCTCATATCAAGCCAAAAGATCTAGCAAGACCCATGGTCCATGGCCGTCAGGAAGCCCTTACTGAATGGCTAGAGGGGTCCACGTGTTTACCAAAGGGTCTTACTGAGCAGCCAGAGGCTCCTATGGTATTGTCTGAACCTCTGTTTGGCAAATAGATTCGTTTTGGTTCTTTTCAATCAATACAGCCATTTTTTCACCGTGTGAGCCGAAAAGAGCCCTCCCATGGGAAGCCCAGACCCAGCAAACTCTCACAGCCAGACCCCCATAGATTATTCAGCCCAGATTAGCGAGTCCAGTACTATTCTCAATTAGAGGCTGCAGGGCTTTCCGTCCCATTTCAGGTTGCCAACAGACTACTATTCTGTTGGCACGTGCAGACATGGGATTCACTGCTAGGCACTGCGGGTCTGCTGACCGATACAATCTGCGGATTATCAGCGGCGTCACGTGGTGGGGCCGAGCATACGTCAGGCGCGGGATGCGGACGAGGGGTGAGTCGTGTCCTAGCTCCCGACTGACGAGGTAGGTGGTCTGTATGTCCCCACCCTCCCTCTGAGCCGCTGGAAACGGCTAAAGGGTTTGTGCCCGACCTTACTTACCTACGGCCGACGGCACGGGGAGGACCACAATCCTGTCCTACTACCAACCCCTACTGGAGGCTCAGTGGTGGTGAGCTCCGCTGCTGCGCCGACAGATGCGGTGCAGGTAGAATAATATTGTGCGTATGATATAGCAGTATGATTGGAGCAAGTGAGTTAGAGTGGTCCCCAGATTAATACCGAGTGAGTTGGAACGGTGTCTGGCATAACAGCAGAAACAAAACTAGTGTGATCAGGATTTTCATGAGTTTTTTATCAAGGCCAGAGGTCCGTAAGTAGCCATAAAGGTCCTTAGACGACAGGTGTGCCCCTGGTGGCCAGAGACCACTGAATGGCCAGGGGGGGGGGGGGGGGGGGGGCGGAGAGTCGTCACATGAGGCCTCCTGAGTATCGAGGAGGAACAATTTGTTCCGGTCTGAACTTCTATTCCGCCAAATCAACTACCGTGAAGCATTTTTAATCGGTAGGATGATTTTTTCGATCTGTGTGTGTTGAATAGGGCCCTCCCAAAGAGTCCTTGAACCCCCAAACCCTACCATTTCCTAGTTTTCAGGGTCCAAGGGAGGAGGAGGGGTACGGACCCCCTCGACCCTCACAGGATCTCCAGCCATGGCCGCAGGCATCATCATACGAGTAAATTTTTGGAGGATCCGGTGATCGTGCCGTGTTTTGTCATCCAAGACCTTTCAGCCAGTTGTGTACACGCACATGACAAATGCTTCGCAGCTTTTGATAATGCGTTATGTTTCGCTTTTTAAAACGGCTGATCTAAAAGTGCGTCATAAAATTGGCTGTAGCCATTACCATGCACGTCAATCTTGGCTGCATCGACGGCAACGAGGCAACGAGGCAACGAGGCAACTCTTTCAACGACTTTTGACGTCATGCAAACTTACCTGGTGGCCGTATGCCGATGGCCGTTACATTGATTACAAATGATGGTGCATTGAGGACGATACTGTTTCGCTGATTATTACACTGAGGCGGCGCACACTTTTAAGGCAAGATAAGGAAAATGGTGGAAAGGGGAATAATGTAAAACATTTTGTCTCAAATCAGGGTCGAATATTGTATACTTATGGTGATGGAGAGAGGACCGGGGCTGGGGTTCAAACCATGTATCGATAGCTACCCTTCTTACTTACAGGTCTCTAAGTCCGGCTACCCGCACGGACCTGATCTAAACATGGGCGGGCATCAATCTGCTCTGATGATCCTGGCACTGACTGTAGTAATAATTCTGATGACTTCGTCTGCGATCATCGCCGTAGAAGGTGAGACGCAAACGCATTATTGACAAACAGTCGGGTGGGGGCAGTTCGAACCCACTTCTTATATGGTTTTGGAAGAACTTTGGGTGAGGGCAATCTCAACCCACTCCTTATATATTTTTGGAAGAACTTCCAATGGCGCAGCGCAGCCGCGACAAACTTTGAATAGCTGGTGATTGAGTAGTGCATATTTTGGTACACAGAATCTGATAGCTCATTAATTCGCTATCCCATAGCAGGTCAAACTCAGGCTATGGCTTTTAAGTGCAGGCAATTCCCAGGCAATCTTTCAGGCTGATGCCATAGCAGAGTGTTGGACGAACCCATACAGCTCTGAAGTGATTTGTTAGACGGTTAGGTAATTTATTTAGGATTGCGACGAATTCCATTGATACTGGGCCGTGTGTAAAGGTCAGATCAATTAAAAAAAGTAGACTACTTTTTAGTGGGTGAGGTCAACAGAGTTCTAGTCATTACATAATTAAGTTCCGGGGGTGGCGGGGGGGGGGGGGGGGGCACTGACCTAGCTTGCCTCAATACATTTTGGAAAGTGTATTTTAACTTGGTTTTCAAGATGCTTTTAGATAAAATACACTTTGCTGTCGGGGTTCCAACCTCTCAAACATCTTCTGAATTATCTCGGACCTGTTGATAACCCGTAACCTGAAACCGAATGACAGAGAAATGTGACCTGTTTGCGAAAGAATTTGTACTTACGGAATGAAGAGTCAGGACGGCCGAGCTGATGCGACAGAGAACAGAGCCCAGGCGTTCTAACACCTCCGTTAACCCTTTTCCGTGCATAAAATGTCGTCGAAGTAAGTGACGCAGATCTTTGGAGACAGGTCTCCGTGAACTATGTGTGATTATTTTGCGCATGAAGGCGGCGCCGAATTGAGCCCAAGGCAAGCTCTGGTGTACCTGAGATTGCCGAACGGAGTAGTGATTGTAGTTTTGCCCCTATGGGCTGGTATTCAAGTCTTACGTGTTCTGTCTGCTCGCGCTCCCTTCAGTCGGACCACGATCATTCGGACCAGACACGAACGCTGCGAGACGGTAACTGTCTTAACACCCGAGCCGAGCAGGCGGCGCCGACCCCGGTGGACGGCGCCCCAGGCAGTACACCGCCGGTCGGGGCAGCGGCGTACCGAGGTACAGCAGCACTGGCGGCGCGAGCAGTGGCAAACTCAGGCGCACTCCAGTGACATCACGATACATCTCCCCCCTTGAGCAAATGCAAATAAATGCTAGCTCGCTTGCGAAACGAAATTACTGGCGACAGACTGCTGCTTCCCTGCTGCTTCTCTGCTGCTTCCCTGCTGTTTCTTTGATGCTTCTCTGCAGCTTCCCTGCTGCTTCTCTGCTGCTTCTCAGCCTGCTGCTTCCCTGCTGCTTCTCAGACTGCTTCTTCTCTGCTGCTTCCCTGCTGGTTCCCTGCTGCCTCCCTGCTGCTTCTATGCTGTTTCTTTGATGCTTCTCAGAAAACACGGCCACTGCATGTTTTGCGCGGACTGAAACTGAGCAGTGGCGGTGGGTCTTGAGTCTGGGGCACTTGCGCGTTGCAGGGCTGGGCCGCAGCTTCTGCCAGGGGCGGCAGCGACGGCGGCGGCGCCGCTGCCGACGCGGGCGACGGCACAGCTGGTGGTGGCCATGACGCTACCGATCATGGTGCAGGCGCCGGTTCGCGCGGCTGCGGTTGCAGCAGCGCCGGTGGCGCCACCCCAGCATGGCGGCCAGAGAAGAGGTCTGGAGCGGGCACCCTGCGTGCAGAACGGTCAGCGCGCCGCGTGGAACCGTGCTGTGTCAATACCTGAAACGGGGGGATCTGCATCAGATGACGTCGGTTGCGACGATAGCGAGCACCCTTGAGCTCCACAAGGTAGCTGCGTCTAGAGAGCTTCTCTATGATGGTGGCGGGCTCGGACCAGCTTGCCTCCTCTGTCCTGATCCGAACATGATCCCCGGGCTGAAGCTGCTGAAGATCGCGGGCACCGCATCTCCGGTTGAAGCACGTCTCCATTTTCTTCTTCCTCTGCCGATCTCGGAGTTTGGAATGCTGCCGTGTCGCTTCTGCCGGTTGGCTGAGCGATGGGGAGACGAAACTGAAGTTCGCGTCCCATCAGAAGACGGGCTGGGGAGTATCCGGTTGCTTCCACAGGCGTCGTGTGGTAGTTGAGGAGGGAGAGGTGGGGGTCCCTCTGGCGAAGTATTCACTTGGCGGTTCTCACGGCCCGTTCAGCTTCTCCGTTGGAAGACGGCGTGTGCAGGTCTGTGATACGGTTTGTGAAGCCATAAGACGCTGTGAAGTCGGCGAACGAGCTTGAAGTGAACTGCGTTCCTCCATCTGTTGTCACGAGGTCTGGTATCTCCAAGCGGGAAAACAGGCGCTTCAGACGCTCGATGACTGCGCTGCTGGTGAGACTCGGGAGGTGTTGTATCTCCAGATACTTGCTGAAGCTGTCCACCGTGACGAGTCAGTTGCAGTTGTTGAAGTGGAAGACGTCTGCTGCAACGCGCGTCCACGGTCTTGGTGGCTGTTGGAGTTGCCACCAGTGGCTCAGCGTGCTGGGCGGGCACGTTCACCTGACAGAACGAGCAGCTCTCGAGATAACGCTTCAGGCTGATGCCGAGTTGAGGCCACCAGATCGATACTGCTGCCCTCTGGCGACACTTGTTCAGACTGAAGTGTCCGTCGTCATGTAGTCGGGTGAGCATTTCATATCGCAGACTCGGAGGGATGACGATGCATCGCACGTGCATCAGCAGTGTACCACACGTTAGGTACAGAGCGCTGATCTCTCCCCGAGAGGTGAAGTAGTCCAGCAGGTCGGGGCGCTTCGTTCCCTCCTTCCAGACAGAGAGAGTCTGCTGAACTACACGCTGTAGGAGTTCGTCTGCTTGCTGCGCCTTGCCGATCTCCACCAGACGCTGCGGTGTGGCGGGAAGATCGCTGAAGATTCTCTCACGGAATCCATGTACGTCTTCTTGAAGCACAGCGCTGATTTCATCCTGCTTCTGGAGCGGGTAACGTGAGAGGAAGTCGGGCACCAGGTGCTGCTTCCCTGGAACGAAGACTGCTGTGGCGTGATATCGTATCAAGCGCATGAACATGCGCTGGCATCTGATCGGCGCATCCACGAGATTGTTCGTGTTAACCAGCGGGATCAGAGGCTTGTGGTCCAGATGCAGCTCGAATGACGGCAGTCCAGACAGGAACATGTGCATTTTCTCGCACGTCCTCGTCGCGGAGAGCAGTTCCTTCTCGATCTGGTCTGGCCCATCTGGCCTCGGTGTCAGTCAGGCTTCTGTTGCAGAACGCGACCGGTTTGAAGACGAAGCCGTGCTTTTGGAGAATACATCCTCCGACGCCGAAACTGCTGGCGTCGGCGCCGACCACAGTCTCTCGTGCTGGATCGTAGAACGCCAGAACTGGAGCTGAAGTAACGGCTGCTTTCACGTCATCCAACGCCTGCTGCTGCTGTGGTGTCCAGATCCATGTACGTTCTTCCTCAGAAGCTCGTTCAGTGGTCTCAGACATTCCTGGATGTGTGGAACGAACCGGCCCAGAAAGTTGATTACTCCGAGCAGAGACCTTAGTTCATTGACATTCTTTGGCGGTTGGAGCTGCTGGATCGCTTCGAGCTTCTCTTCGTCCATGCTGATGCCGTCCTTGCTGATCTTCATTCCCAGAAACTTGACCTCGTTCTTCTGGAACTCGCACTTCTTCCTGTTCAGCTTGAGGCCAGACTCGTAGATCCTTCTGATGACGGCTTCGAGACGGGCATCGCGGTTGGCGGCATCTCCGAGCACCACGGTGTCGTCCATATAGACGATGACTCCGGGCAGTCCGTCCAGCATCTCCTCCATCTTCCGCTGGAAGCACTCCGGTGCGAGCGAGATCCCCATCGGCAGTCGCAGGAACCTCTTCCTGCCGAACGGAGTGATAAACGTGGTCATCTTGGAGCTCGCCTCGTCCAGCGGGATCTGGTAGAAATCGCAAGATGCGTCCAGCTTGGTGAAGAGCGTCGCGCCACTCACCCTGGAGGTCAGCTGCTCCAGAGTAGGGATCAGGAACACCTGTTGCTTCACAGACAGGTTGAATCTCTTGTAGTCAACCGTGGTGCGGACGCCGCTGCTCTTCGGCTTTGGGACGGGGACCAGCGCAGAAACCCAGTCCGTTGGCTCGGTCTCCGACGGAATGATGCCGTGACGCTCCATCTTCTTCAGCTCCTCTTCCACCGGCTTCATCAGTGGCAGCGGGACGTTTCTTGCAGTGGCGAGGGCGACTGGAACAGCATCTTCACGGAGCTGAATGCCGACCGGTGCTGTCTTCAGGAGACCTGCCTCTCCGAAGACGTCTTCGTTGACTTCACCCGTGAACCTCAATACACCCAGGCGCGAGCAAGCAGACCTGGAGAGGAGATCATCAGCTGAGTCAACAACGTAGAACATTTCAGGCTCGGCTTTGTTCTTGAACATGATTGTTCCGTGCATCTTTCCTTCCACTTTTAGTACGCTACCAACACTTGTCAGAGTATTTGAAGCATATCCATGCGGCGGCAGTTTCATCTTCTCGTACGTTTTCAGCGCCAGAATGCTAACATCAGCGCCAGAGTCAACTTTGAAAGCGACTTGTTGACCATGTAGAAGGACTGCAACTCTCCACGGCGCGCAAGCTTTGTCTACTTCGCCAACAAAAGTGTTGGGCAGCGATAGTTGTTAAATGGACTCTGTCCGCTCAATTGCTCTGACACCGTTGGAGCGACAAACAGATGCAAAATGGTCCATTTTCTGACAGTTGTCACATGTTTTTCCCTTCGCGCGACAGTCTTCCGGAGACACACGGCGTGCTCTTCCACAGTATCTGCATGCTGTTGAAGAGTCGGCACGCTGACTATGCTGTTGCCGTTGCGCGGTGGAAGGCTGCTCTTGACGTCTGTACTGCTGGTGCTGCTGCTGTCGCGGGCAGTGCTGCTGGCGCGGCTGCCTGTGCTGCGCCGGTG